TAATGCAACGCGTGGTAATTCTAAGCGTAGTAATCCAACGCGTAGTAATACAACGTGAATTAATCCAGCGTGTGGATATGCAACGCGTAGTAATCCAGCGCGTGCATATTCAACGCGTAGTAATCCAACGCGTGATAATGCAACACGTGGTAATTCTAAGCGTAGGAATCTAATGCGTGGTAATCTAACGCGTAGTAATTCAGCGTGTGGATATTCAGCGTGTGGATATCCAGCGCGTAGTAAACCAGCGCGTGGATATTCAACGGGTAGTAGTCCACCGCTTAGTCATGCAACATGTGGTAATTCTAAGCGTAGTCTTTAACTTTTAATTCTAAAAAGTTAAATCTGCTTATAAATAAATAAATAAAAATAATTAGAAACTACATCACTCCTATATTTTATTACGAATTATTCCGTAAATACAAATATCGATGAGAACACAATAATCTCGAACAACCATACAAACTAATAATTATAACATCGAATTCCCCGACATTCTCTATTAATTTCTCCAGTTAATAGCAGTTACACTCGCGAAATGGAATCACCAGAAGGGAATTTCGAAAGTTTTGTTTCCACGAATAATCCCATTGGTAACTTTCGCAGTTTCCTTGGGTCTGATTGCTCGCGTTATTATTACAGAATAATTATTTCGATCGGAAGGACACGGCAAACACGCGATACCTTGCTCGCGAACTCGACAATAAATTTCAAAGTTGCTCCACGATGAAACCATCCCTCGTCAACGTCGATTTCTATGGCCTCCATCCCCACTTTTCAACCCCTTTGTTCTTGTACGCTCGATTCTTTCACGAATCCTTGTCTCTCCCCTCTAATAGTCCAATTAATTTAATTAATATTCCTCTATGTTAAGCTCATTAGAGTAATGATCGGATACTGTGATAAGCTCTTCCGAATTTCTTCTTATTCAAAAAAAAAAAATTCTTTTTTTTACATGGGAATTGTTCAGTTAACAATGGTTCATTTTTAAAATATTGGGTGTACTCGTTATTAATTCATTTTATTGGTGTTATTGATTGATTTTATTGGTGTTATTGGTTAATTGTATTGGTGTTATTGGTTAATATTATTGGTGTTATTGATTAATTTTATTGGTGTTATTGGTTAATTGTATTGGTGTTATTGATTAATTTTATTGGTGTTATTGATTGATTTTATTGGTGTTACTGATTCATTGTATTGATGTTATTGATTGATTTTATTGGTGTTATTGATTAATTGTATTGATGTTATTGATTGATTTTATTGGTGTTATTGATTAATTTTATTGGTGTTATTGATTGATTTTATTGGTGTTATTGATTCATTGTATTGGTTGTGTTGATTAATTGTATTGGTGTTATTGATTAATTGTATTGATGTTATTGATTGATTTTATTGGTGTTATTGATTAATTGTATTGGTGTTATTGATTGATTTTATTGATGTTATTGATTGATTTTATTGGTGTTATTGATTAATTGTATTGATGCTATTGATTTATTTTATTGGTGTTATTGATTGATTTTATTGGTGTTATTGGTTAATTGTATTGGTGTTATTGATTAATTTTATTGGTGTTATTGATTGATTTTATTGGTGTTACTGATTCATTATATTGATGTTATTGATTGATTTTATTGGTGTTATTGATTTATTGTATTGGTGTTATTGATTGATTTTATTGGTGTTATTGATTGATTGTATTGATGTTATTGATTAATTGTATTGATGTTATTGATTCATTGTACTGATGTTATTGATTGATTGTATTGATGTTATTGATTAATTTTTTTGATGTTATTGATTAATTGTATTGATGTTATTAATTAATTGTATTGATATTATTAATTAATTGTATTGAAGGTATAGAATGAGTGAAGTTTGGAGATTATTGCAATAGATTAATGAAATTTTCCAAAAATTTTAAATTGTCCAATAAAATATTTAAAAAATTATTACAATTAGTTACCATTGTAAGTGAAAAAAAAATTTCTTTACCCTAGAAAAATAATTAGAATAATATTACAGTGAATTAATGAAATACGTAAAAAGTGATAAAAATAAATTTTTGAAAGAAGAAAAATAACTGAAATTAAAGCAGGTTAACGAGGTATTTCAAAAATTGATAGAAGACACGTATATCCAGCTGTATTGTTTGCAACTTAAAAAGCTCGATGAAAGAAGAGGCAAGTAGAAAGCAGAGAAAACTTTAAATGGCAGTCGACTTTGACCGCAACGTGCCATCAAAAATCCATTAAGAAATTCTTTTCTCGTACACACGTAATCGTACACGCAATCCGTAACACGCTCACGCAAACGGTATCAACTGAAACAACAGCTGAAAGTAGCTGAAAATGCTGTACAACATACAACCATTATACAAATTGTTTTATGGAAATCTTGTGTAACCCATTTGCTATCGAATAACAAGCAACCCGAGTACTGCGCCACATTCGCCTCTACAATTTACCCTATTTTCGCGATTACGATA